GTGGAGAGAGATTCACATCTCCGCTGGCTGCGGCTCTTCCAAGGAAAATAACCTTCGGTTCCGGAGGATTTAGGAACTGGAGCTGCCTCGTGCAGAACTTAGCAGACTTTAGGAAGCAGCTTTGATTATTTTTTAAATTGATTTTTTGTTTGTTTTTTAAAGCCCCGGGAACGTGCTTTAAAACCTGATTATGTGTTGGAATTGTACCTTTCAGATGAAATGCCGACCACAAAAAGAACATTAAAGATAAAACAGGAATCTTCCGAAGACACGCAGTAAGTAATTTATGAATGTTTTACCCTGGAATGCGTTTCCCTGGGGATGTTGTGCACGACGGGAGGGTCTTTGGAGCTTCTGATTGTAATTATAAACGCATCGTGCGAGACGATTCGTGCAGTTGAATCCGCTTCACGCGTTTTCCAGTTCCTCAGAACGTCTGAAAAAGCTTCACAACTCTGCTCTCCTCTCGGCTCCGTCGTTCAGCGACCGAAAACGAGAAGGAAGGGCCTAAACCGCGGATAGAATCCGCCCCAGCGCGGATAAAAGCCCCATCGGCTTCGTGAGGGTCAGCGTGGCGCGAGGCCGAACCCTTCGATCTATTTATAATCTGGGGTTTTTTTTATCATTTGCCTGAATTTTGCCCCCTTTGGATGCGAGGAGGAAAAAAATAGGGATTACAAGCGAGGAGGAAGGAGCGAGTCGAGGGACGCCCCGGTAGCAGGGTTGGCTCGGGGTGAGGACAGTTGATGCGTTTCCCCTCCTCGGTGGGAAGGCGTGCTGAAACTTGTGATTTTTGTATTTTTTGGGGGGTTTTTTTGGGTTTTTTTTTTAGATTTTATTTTAGTTTTATGACTTTGCAGAGCTGACTCGTAACCTCTTGGTTTCACGGGCCAAATCCCGGCGTGTTTCGAACGCTTGGAGCCTGTGCCTCGCCCTCGCCTCGCCAACAACAACACGGGGAGAAATGCAAGGAATTGTGCCGGGTTTATTCAATCCAAGGCCGCTTTCTTCGGACTTTGAGGGTGTAAAACCCACAGGGCGGTTGTGGATCCGTCTGCAGCGGGGTTGAGCGGTCGCAAACGGGCTCTTGGCCCCTTCTGGGTGGGTTCCTCGCATCGGCTCCTCCCGCCAGTGGTGCCAGCTGAAGGCAAACTGGTGTTTCCTATGCTGGAAGATGAGCCGCTGCGGGGTGGGAAGTCGCCAGCACCGTATGCGTCGATGTTGTGGCAGTACAACAGCGGCTTTTTGCTGTAACTACGTGAAAAAAATCCTCCAAAACCTAAAAAAAAAAATAATAGAAATAATAAAAAAGAAGCTTCCATTGCAATGGCCGAGCTTCCTCCAGCTCCTCGCTCCAGGTGGATTCTCACGGTACCCAAAGGTGACTTTATTTTAATCTTAATATGGAGCAAATTCAGTTAGGGATGAGCTGGAGAAAAATCACTTTTTTTGGTATAAACATTGTTATTGCCGCTTTGAACAGCTGCTCGGGACCGTTCTGGGATAATTTGGCCTTTCAAGGCGTTTTTTAAGGAGCTGTGTAGAAAAGAATCCTGAATTTTTCCGAGGTGGCGGCTTGGGCTGCTGGAATCTTCCCTTTCAGCTTTCGATGGGCGGCTGGATTCGATTTGGTGGATTAGACCTGTCAGAGTTTTCTGGTGGTTTTTGTTTTGTTTTGTTTTTTTTCCTTTTTTTTTTTTTTCCCCCCAAAATCCTCTCAAAAACTCTCAGGTGTTTTGTGAAGCGTGCAGGTGAGAAACTCTGAAGAAATTTGCTGAAAACGGCTCAAAACGCCGATGGGGCGGTCGCCAGCAGGGAGGTCGTGGGTCAAATCCAGCTCTGGGGCCTGAAAAATGAGCTTGCCCCGGGCCGCGGGGGAAACCCTCCCCTAGCTCAGGGCTTTCTACGGAGAAATAAATAACAATTAATAATAATTAAGTGACCGTTAACTCGTGGAGGTGCCGCTTGGAGCCTGGCAAAGCGAAGCCGCGCGGGGGCGGCCGCCCAGTCCTGGCCTAAGCGAGAAGAGGTGCTAAAACCCAAAAGCAGAGCTTTTAAAAACATCTTTTTTTTTTTTTTTTTTAAAATCTTTTCCCGCCTTTTGCTTCCTCCGTGCTGGCAGGGCTGGATTCCCTCTGGGACAAGCCCTTCTCTCCCGTGCGTGAGGCGCTGCCGGAGCTCATCTCCAGCGCGATTATTCCTTTTTCCTACAGCAGTGACTCATTTTTTTTCCCCCCCCACCAGAGCTTCAGCTCTATTTTGTGCGGAGCTAAACTTAGCGAGAGTATTTCTAGCGTCGTTAATAAAGGTGGGGGCTTTTTTTTGGGGGGTATTTTGCTGTGTTCCTCCGCTGTGGAGTGACAATCTCCCCACGCTGCTCTCCCCTGTGGCTGGGTGGGCCTGCCCGCTGGAAATCCGCGCTCTCTTGTCTGGGAATCGCGCGGCAGCGCTGAGGCACGGGATGTAAAAACGCCTCGTAAGGCCTCGCCGGGAATCTTCTGGGGGCAGCTCCGGGGCTGGATAATTCGGGTGGACGCCATGGGCGGGGAGCAGGGCCTGCTGAGGCCTGGGCCGCCTCGGCGGGCCTTCCCGAAATGGCGTGCGTGGTAGTTACGCCCCTAAAACCCGGGATTTTGAGATGGGAGGCTGGGAAGATGGAGGGAGGAAGGGTCTGCAGCTCCCAACCCTGTCTTTTTTTTTTTTTTCCTTTGAACCTTTCTATTAATATGATGGAAAAAAGAGATTTTGCTGATCCACGTCGGGGTTTATTGGGCGGAAATGGCGGAGTCTCAGCCCCCGGCGTATCCTCGTGGGGTGTCCGATCTGCTCGTGCTTAAATCCCTCGGTGTCCCCCCGTGGGGTGCCTGATCTGCTCGTGCTTAAATCCCTCGGTGTCCCCCCGTGGGGTGCCCAGTCTGCTCATGCTTAAATCCCTCGGTGTCCCTCCGCAGCCCTGTGTGTAACTCCGGGGGGGGGGAGCCGTTGGGAAAAGCTGATTTTTGGGGAGTGGAAGGCTCAAGCGGAGGGGGAAGCTCGTGCACACCCGGCTGCAGGGACTCAAGAGGCGGGCTGT